GGGGCGGTTGTGGAGTACCCCGCCCCGGCCCCCCGCGGGCCGAGCGTCGGTCCCGAACGCTTCCTCCGAGGCCAGCAGCCTAGAGCAGGCATCTCCCCCCGCTGCGCCATGCCTCGCTGCCCCGTCCCCTCAAGCGCACCTCAAAAACGCCCCGTCTCGTGGGTCTCCAGCCCTCCCTCGCCGACAGAGAGGGGTTTTTCTGCGAGTTTCTTGCTTTTCCCCAGCCCAAAGGCTCCCCGCAGTAGTATCTCAACGGATACTGATGGTCCCCACAGCTCGCGGGGCAAGCGGCCGTCGCCTGCCCGGCTGCCACGCGTTTGGGCCGCGTGTCTCCTGCCCTGCCCCGGAAGGTCCACGCTCCGAAAGGCCACCCCGCTGCCTACGGCTTCGCCCACTCCCACTTCTCGTACTTACCGGAGCAAATAACTTCAACCTGCATCTCACCAGCTACACGCTGAACTGCTCACAGAAGTAAGCCTTTCACAAAAATATTAGTTTTACATATTTTCAATTTTTCTTAATCGCTTAAAAAAAAAACAGAAGTTAAATACAAATACTTGGCTACAACAGAAAAAAATGGAAAAAATGGAAAAAACTGAAAGTTTTTAATTATTTGGGGTTAATGCTGTGAATGAGGGTTCATGAAGTTGCTTCAGCTTTGAATCAGCAGTGGCTGCCAAGCACATCTCACTCGCGCAGATCATCCATCAATCATCCATCTTCAAGTAGATATCCAGTTGCAAAAACTAATAACTATCATGACTCACAGTAGAAATATTTGATATATAATCACACACTGGGATATTTCCTACGGCTCAAGCTCGACTCTCTCTACTAGCTAACGAACGGTTGGGAGAGCAGACAAGGCTCAGGCTCTCGGGTTTGCCATGGTCACGCAGAGCTGGTTGCACCCGTGGCGTTAACCGCTCCCCACCGAAACACAGCTGCAGATGGTGGCTGCTGTCCTCCTCCCTGTAAAGACGCAGGGTGCAACGGCAAACACCAAGGTGTGCACTGATGCAGTGGGTTAGCCTTGCAGAAAACGGACACGTCAAGTGCTCAGGAAGATCCCAGGACACGGAGACAGGAAGGAGGGGACGACACGAACCGCAACACAACCATCGTCCTTGGGAACAGAGGAAGCAAAACCCAACAGCAGCAACGAAGGGTAGTAGGTCCTTGCCTGCTTGTCTAGGTACCAAGCCAGCTCGGAAGCTATTCCAGCAAATAAGTCATGAGTGTCTGCAGAGTCCTGGCATGCAGCAAGAAGGAGATGGCTTTAAAATTAATTCGTGGAAGAGCTGAGCACAACGCCATGTGGCCTCCCCTGTTCCCAGCCCACAGGCTCGCACAGTCATATTGCTGTAAACCCTCACCTCTCCCGCCGGATGCAACAGCCCCCCATAACCCTACAGGTCCATCAGTGCCGCTGAGAATAAATCACGTGTCCTAGATTAAATAGCTTGCCCAAAGCCTTGCTGGAAAGCCATGGCAAAGTCAGACGTTGAACCAGGGCTCACGACATCCTGCTAGGGTCATAGCCTCAAAATTACCCTATTTCAAGGGCATCGACAAGCCTCAGAGGTCCAAACCAGGGCTGCCGCACTTCAGGTGCAGCTGATGCTCTGTGCGCTGCAACCAGACGCAGAATCACACTCGTGAACACATGCTAATACTAGCTTTCTTAAAAAGCACTCAGTATGATTAAACAGAAGCCCCTCAAACTCCTACCTTGAGGCACACAGGGGACATATCAAAAGAGCCAGACCTCCCATAACTCCCACAGGAGCCGGCCGCGGACACCAGAGTCTCTCCTTCGTGCTGCTCCCAGGCTGATCCCTTAAACTCACCCCGTTTGCCTACCCACCCCGCAGGCAGGACCTGGACATGCACCTTCTTTGCCTGGCACATGAAGCTGCAAAGGGAGGCCCCGCAGTGATTCAGCATAACCAAATTCAATATGGCCAATCGTCACGTACTTCAAACGGCAAGACCAGTGCAGGAGCCTGTGCATGGAGCCGGCCGAGGAATGCTAATACGTTAGTTCTGGGAGCTGGAGCGCTCTGGCACAATTAATTTGATTAATGCTTTTGGGTTAGATTGGATTTTTTTTTTGTGTGTGCCTCCTACTTTGAAAGTGTCCTTGAATTAAAATTATTTTCCGTTTTCCCAGAAATGGTTTAATCTTCTGGACATTGACGGAAATATGCAGCAGATACGACAAACGCTGGTTTTCTGCAGCACAAACTTCTGGGCTTGAATTTTATCATCAAAACGGCGTGCTGGTTGAGTCTCGCAATACCCTACGGCTGGACGACTGCTCCCACTGCCCTGTCTCTCCATGAGCCAAGAGTTAATCAGAAAGGTTTCAAGTCCATCGGCATCGCCCAGCTCACCTGCCACCTGCAGAAGCTGGCCACCAGCGCCTGCAGGGCGAGGACCTCAGGGGTGGCGTGCAGAGGACTTTCCCTCCATGCCCATCATGAAAGTTCACGGCTGCTCAGGGCTTCTTGCTTCCTTGCCTGCAAGCAGCACGGCGGTTCCTTCCCCGCCGGCACCTCTTGGGCGAGCTGCTTCCCGGCATGCAGCGGGAGGCAGGGAGCTAGTACACGGCAGGACACAAGCCCCAGAGACGGCGCGCGAGGGGGAAAGCAGTTATCGCCACCAAAGCAGAGCCATCAGGGGCTACGTCTGGGCCAACAGGCTCTGGGCTGAGAGCGCGAGAGCTGGGGGACGTGCCCCAGGGCTCCTACGGCTACCAAAATATCCTCCCGCGATCATGCGCAACAGGAGCATCACCAGTAGGGTTTCTCTGGCATCACTGAAAAAGGGAAAAAAAGCTGTTGCCAGGATTCACACGCATACTTGTAATAAGAAGGCAACAGTCGCCACAACCAAACCTAAGGCATAGCAACTCAATAATTTCCTCATTTTGGTAAAAACTACGTTAGCTACTCTCCCAGGACAATAGCGAGTCCTAACGGACCTTCGCTTCCAAGCACGCTTTGCTCTTATCCCATTTTGTCTGGCTGTTGCAGCATGATACCGTCAAAGACGAAGACCTTGCTTACGTGGCCCTGTACCCCCCCAGATCCTGAGGAGGACGCGCACAGCGGTTAGCGATGCTTCGGCAGCCTGAGCTCCGTGCTCTCGCCTTGTAACCTCGCACCGGCAGCTCTCTTTATACCCTGTCTCGTCTTTCAGCTTTCCTAGAACTTAAGATCTGAGTTATGAATATCTAGACAAGGTCTCCATTGACCTTACCCTCTCCACCCCCCCTCCCCGGATAATTTTATCCTCTAAACTTAAAAGGGAAAAGGGGGAGAACGCAGAAATGAATCACAGCGCAGCCTTATCTGGCGAAGTGACCGATTTGACTAAATTTTGCAACTAAGCCTTCTGCTCCGTTATATAATAGGCCCGCCATCTGCTTGAAATGATAAAGACTACAGAAAGAGAGGGGTATTTGGGAAAGGCAGAGCGGAAATAAGAACTGCGCTTGGAGACTGTTTTTGAGAGCAGGAGGGAACAGCACGGCTCCCCCCCAAAACTGCTCTCATGACACGCACTTCCACCTCCTGGGCTCCAGGAAGGCGTTGCAAGGCCAGACCTCGGCCTGCCCTTCTCCCGAAGGTGACACCACCCGGTCCACCGAGGAGGTCCCAGGGTCACAGGAGACGGCGCAGGGATTTTGCGGGACGGCTCTGGTGCTGGGGGGCTGCAGCCAGAGGTGCTCAGGCCACCTCAGATGTGCTACAACCCCAGGCCAGCGCTGCTGGGAGGAAAGCTGCTAAAAACACCCCCTGCGACGTGGCAAAGCCGGAGCTGGCAGTCACGCGCAGGGACGGGCCGGCACGCCGCGC